TTTTTTTTTTAACTATATCAAGTTTAGGTATCGATAAGCTCTTTACCTGCTTTCATTTCCCATTGGATAAAGAGTATTCTTATAGAGACCCTTTTCACAGTGCAGCTGCATTTCCTTCACTTGGTTCAGCCAGCTTTCCTGATGAAAGATGTCCAATCGTTGACAATATAAATCAGAACGAATCGAGCAAAGAAAGAAAAAAAGAAACAAAAGGATGCACCAAACATCGAGTGTATTAAGTTCACCCACTTGAAAGATTGGAAACCGCCGGTTCTATCTTTTAAAAGTCAGTCGAGCTTTCTAATTAATGCTTATGAACTCATTCAGTCGAAAAAAGGAAGTGCACGTGAAGTATCTTATTAAAATACAACGAGGATTATTGTTTTTTAATATTATATGAGAAGGAAACTTATGAATCAGTGCAATGTTGTACAACATAAAAATCGAAAAAAAGATATCGATTATCTCACCAGCTGGCCCTCTTCTTCAGAAAGTGTAGTCTCCATTCGCTCAAAAATCGAGCGCCATCTAAAGGAGTGTGCATCAACGTTTGCTTGGTCGAAATGGCCAACATTAGGTGGAAACTCTCTCGACAATAGGAGGGGTAACTCTGTGGTAATAACCGCACGAACTCTTCTCTTACTACGTCTTAATGCTGCAAAAAGCAAACCATTTTATTATTATCCTATTAATGTTGTCATAATTTTGAGGTTAACATGTAAAATCAAAACATCTCTTAGTATCAAAACCTCTCTTAGTAAAATGGTATGTATCAGTGGAAGCTTCGATGATGTGTAGCAAAAATAAAAAAATTACCTGTGAGACGCCCCTTAATATCTTGATTCAGAAGTTCCAACCATTGAGAAGCAACATTAGCCGCTGAAAAATCAAACAAAGCAAACATAATTAATCAACACCATAAAGCCAAAAAAATAAATAAATACACACTTTGGAAACACGTAACGTAGTTAATGAATTCATGGCAAAATCTTTTCATCAAAATGATTGTCCTGCTTGGTAAGAAGAAGTCAAGAGCAATTTAACATTTTAAAAACAACAAACACAAAACAAGAGAAAGAAAAAAGACAACCACCTTTAAAAGAAAGCGAATTAACACTACCAAGATTTGCCGACTCGTCATTTGACAGGCAGCTATTATTTTCCGAAGCAACAGCTACCGACGAAGAAAGCTTTAGCGCAAGCTTATCATCTGCAGTTTGTGAAGTCATAAAAGTCCCCGCTTCCGAATCCCCATCTCTTCCTAAAACCTCAGCATTTTGAAAACCCGTTTTTGAAAACAAGCCATAATCACTTATCTGCCTTCTTCCCATCAAACCATCCTCCGCACGACTGAATTCCAACGTATCGACTCCCGAACTGTTTGCGCCTTGGATAAATTTCTTGCTCCCAATATGACGATTTCCCCTTTTTTCCGATTTTACCAAAGCTTCTATGATAGAATGAACCTGTTTGCTATTCCTCACGTGATTAATAATCCCCGGATTAAGCCCGTTAAGCAAGCCACTTGGAGCAGCTACCCTTGCAAACCTATCAACCTGCTCTTTTTTCGCCTGCTCGATCTTTTTCTTCATCAGGTCATTATTGACTTTCTTTTTCCCACGGGGCTTTGGTATTGAAGCTGGCAATGTACTGTCAAAGGGAGACATGTAATTGTTTTGTTTCAGCCCTTTCCAAACTCTCATCGAGTCCCTCTCGTCGGGTGGGCCCACTGAACTCCCGCATTCTAAATCATCCATTTGTTTCGAATTTTCGCAGCTTTTGTAAGAAAAGAAGGGGTCGTTGGCCGAGCTCGAGACATCCTCAGTATTAAGGTCTAAACTGAAAGGTCTGGCCTTTGGATGATTTTCTTTAGTTTCCCCATATGGATTATCACCAGTAGTTGTGCGATTCGCTGAACTAACGTTAATGTTAAGATCGAGCTCTCTTGAATCAGAGCACATGTCTGGATGTGGGGTCTTGATTTCTCCTCCTGATTTGGTTGCATTACAATTGACATTGGGGTTTTTAATCATTAGAAACGAGTTTCAGGCAATTTAACAGGTACCGGGAATAAAATGGAAAATTATTCTAATTTGCTTTGTTCACTGATTACACTGTAAAACATTATTCATAGAGAAAACTCTTTAAATAGACAGAACAAAAGTCTCAGCCAAGTAAGCTCTTAAAATTTCATGGATCGGTAAAATGCCGGTAAATGCGAACATCGAAGCATCAAATGAAACAGTAAATTTAGAATTTTCAAATTAGAAAGTGAAAAAAAAAGTACCTTCAAATTGAAAAACGGATTCAAGGTCACGCATTTTCATTCTTTTCTGAGAACTGTCTGATGTTTCTTCAACTTCAGCAAAACCCCTTTTCTGTACACATAAAACCCACCAATTTAAACACGCAAATAAAAGAAATTAACAGAAAAAAAGAAAAACCCTAGCATACACATGAAATCCAAATCCAAGATAAATAAAGAGCATAAAAACCAAAAAAATCAACCTTTAATTCAGATCTGTGCGCCGTTAACGACTGGCTCTGATCGGAACCCTCGCCGTCCATCTCTAATTTCCCCCACTGAGCAAAACCCAGAAATCAAACTCGAAAAAGACGAAATCTTTGGTCGAGGAAACAAGAAAAGAAGACCGACGAGAATAGATGGGCCCGGCCCGATTGAAGATTATCGGCTAAATATTGTGAATTTGGGTCATTTTTTGAGGAGAAAATATGGAGAGGGTTTTTGTTTCGTTTTCTGGGTGAGTGAAATGTGAAAAATGTAGAGTTAAAAGGATTTTGAATTTGCAGAAAGGGGCGCGCTGACTGCTTGAGAGGCGCTATTATTATTAATCTTTTATTTTTTTATTTTCTTTTTCGATTTATTCCCTTTTTTGTGTTTGTTTCTCAGTTTTCAAATTCAAACTAGTAATATTACCCACGTACAACATGGACGTTTCTCAGTTTTAATTAATAAATATATATGTAAAATTATTTATGTCTAATACCAAACTTAATTCTAAAGTAAAAATAATATAAAAACAACATTATGGAGCATAAATTTTTGTCATGTCAGTATCCGAAGCGTGATAATTTGTCACCTAAACTCAACACGTTTTGAATTAATATATAAGGAGAGAGGTGGATATGGGATTCTGACCATAGGTAAAGGAGAAATGCCATATGTCGAGCCAGCTAATTTTGTGTATTTGCAGTTTGGGGGGCCTCCACACTTTTTGTTAACCATTTTAGAGCTTCTTATTTATTTGTTTGTTTGCACTTTTTTATTTTGTTTTTTTAATCTTCTTCACAAATTAATATGTCATTTCAAGTGAAAGAATGCTATATAATCCACATTTCTGGGTATCATCAGGAAATAAAGGAAAGTGAGTAATTAAGAAAATAAAAATTGGCCCATGTGATTGTTATGGATTCAACTAGTTTTTATTTGGTTTGTTTTTTAACTATAGTTAATTTTGAAAAAAAAAATAGTATGGTTAGTTGTTAGTAAATATATAAAAATAATATTTAAATAAAATAATTAAATTTGATTTGATGTTAAGTATGAAAAAAAATGATTGGAAGTGATAGTTAGTTAAAATTACGTGAGTGGATGAATAGTGAATTAAAGTTTGATGTGATGTGTAAGAATGATTGTTTGATGTTATATAATTATATTGATAATATTGGAGATAGTGAGGTTGAATTAAAGTGGAATTAAATTTGAGTTTTGATTAAATTTTTTACTGTTGAAACTATATCTAATCGCCCCCTAACTTCGTGCTCTAATCGAATATTTCAAAATTAGGGTTGGAATTTTATTTTTTTTAACATAAATATTATATATAATATATAAGCCAAAATTAGGGTTGGAATTTTTTCTTTCGCCTCTCTGTCACTCCCGCTCGCTCACCCCATCCTTACGCCTCTCTTCTCAGTCTCATCTCATCTCACTCTCACCTTTGATCGAGTTCTCTCTGCTCTCTCGTCGACACACTCTCTCCTCCCTTCTCAAACTCAGTATGACTCCACGCCTCGATGACCGACGCCCCACCTCGCGGCCATCGCCTCACCTCCGATGAAAAGGCTCCAGTTGTTCCAGTGCTTTGTGCCTCACCTTGATGGTCGACGCCCGCTTTTGGGACACTGCCTTCGCCTCGACGCTCCGCCTCTACTCACTTGACACCTCCGAACAAAGCTCCGTGAAACCCGATTGTGATGATTTGGGTAAATAAAAAGGAAAAAAAGTGTGGCAAGTACAGGTCGAACGGATCGACCCGCCCCAAAATGGGTCAGGACACAAGCCCAATATGTTGGACCTGTCGCGAGTCACGGGCTAGGTCAGGTCCACAGGACGAAAACGCGGGCCAAGTATGAGTTTGTCGGTACCCGGTCAACTTGACTCATTGCCATCCCTAATTGAGACAATACTTTTTTCATTAGATTATGTCATACTATAAAATATAAAAGAAGTAAAAACATGACAATTAATAACATAAAGTTTTATAAAATAAATAAAACACATGATAATTATTAATACAAATATGTGTTTTTGTAAATAGTATGATGATTTAATGGTTAGATTTATATTTTTATAAGAATTTGTGAGTAATGAAAAAAAAGGAAAAAAGGTCCATCAAAAATGGCAAAAACTCCACACACGTTCAAGTTCAATCATCATCATCTTCAACCCCCTTTTCTCTCACCTAGTAAACACGCACACATACACTACTCCTCGAGCAGCCGCAAGAGTTGAATTAAGCTCTCAATCCTCAATTGCTGCAAGTTCAGAGGAACGGTTTGCTCTTCAAGATCCGAACACCCAGCATTCGACGAACCAAATGCAGCCGTTTTCCGGAGTAATGAGACCCGCGCACCACCGGAGAGCCCACTCGGAGGTCAATTTCCGGCTGCCGGAGGATCTGGATCTGGCGTCGGACCCATTCGACGCGCCGGCCGGGAGTTTCGAGGAAATGGGATCCGAGGACGATCTGTTCTCCACCTACATGGATATGGAGAAGCTAGCTGGCCGCGGATCTGCAATCGTAGACTCTGTTTTCGACAATGATGGCGGCGGGACGGCGGAGGAGGCAGAGAAGAGTGGCGAAGGCGGTGGAGCTGTGTCTAGGCCGAGACACAGGCACAGCAACTCGGTTGACAGCTCGAGCTTGCTGTTCAATGAGAGTGGCATCGAAGCTAAGAAAGCTATGGCGCCGGAGAAGCTGTCTGAGCTGTGGTCTGTTGATCCTAAGAGAGCTAAAAGGTTCTTTTTATACCTTCTTTTTGTTGACTTGTATATGTGTTAATTTTGATTTAATTTACTTGTGTTGGATTTGTGTGGAAATGTAAATTTAGACTGGATTTGAGATGTGTCTCTGTGAATCATTGGGGTTTGACTGATTTGGGCTACAAGTCTAATATGTGTACAAGATTATGGATAATTGTTTGGCAAATGGTAAGGTCCCGTTACGGAATAATTCTGTCGGGATTTATAACCGTTAGATCGTCATGTAACCGTCAGAGATAGTTGATCTAACGATTACAAACCTCGACGGAATGGTTCCGTAACGGGGCTGTAGCATCCTCCTGAAGTTGATTTTGTTTAAAACAGAGTTAATAGTTACATAAAGTTAGAGCTGGATTGATCTCTGTCTCAGTCATATTACATTTAGTCAATTAGATTTAGTGATTTTGGAAGCATTATCACTGTGTAGTTCTTGGTCAAAGCAGGTAACATTTTATCAAACGAGCCGAGTTGAGCCAAGCTCACGAGCAGCTCGTTTCGTTTAACAGCTCTAATGTACACAACACACTTCACAAATGATGCAAGAACCTTGCATAGTTTATGATTTGGGTCTCTGTAATATAAAAAACATTTATAGGCAGTATCAAATGATATTGATGGATTTGTAGAAGTTTGCCCTGCAAGAACTGTATTCGCAAAATTTAATTTTGCCTACAGAACATTTTGGTTCTCTTCTTTGCTTAGTTATTTCTATTCAGAAAACTAAATAAAGAAGTTGCCGATTATTTATCACGTAACTATCGTCACTTTGAACCAGATTTTCTCTTTTCCAAGAGTTGGCTGACTTATAAAAATATATCGTCACGTAAGTATTTATTTTTATATTCAAATTCTTGATATCCTGTTCTCCATGCGGTCGCATAATTTGTTAGTTATGTCATTTAACGCTGTTCCACTTTGTACTTTAATAAACTAACACGTTCATGATATTACACAAGGATTTTGGCCAACCGGCAATCTGCAGCTCGATCGAAAGAGAGAAAGGCACGTTATATATCCGAGCTGGAGAGAAAAATTCAGACCCTTCAAACTGAGGCAACAACTCTCTCAGCTCAACTCACTTTGTTCCAGGTATTAAATTAGTCCCCTCCAATTGAAGTTTTCTCCGTAAGAACTTTTTATTTTTTTTAAATGTTTTGACTCGAGATTTTTTATCTCTTTAAGAGAGACACATCAGGGCTGGGCAATGAGAATACAGGGCTTAAGCTTCGGTTGCAAGCCATGGAACAACAAGCTCAGTTACGTGATGGTAAGTACTATTTAAAAATATTACGTCACTCATCTTGTGACTTAATTAATGTTATGTTGCAATTACACGACCGACTTATTCAGCTCTAGAAAGCAAAAACATCTCACACGAGCTTATAAATTCGTACGAATAAGCGTAGCTTGCACGCAACTATGAACTATGCAAATGCTACCCCTTTTTCATTTTGTTTTCACAATATTCTTCTGTTAAACTTACTGCAACTTATACATGCAGCACTTAATGAGGCACTGAAGCAAGAAGTGGAGAGACTGAGAATGGCCACTGGAGAAATATCGTCCACAAAGGACACATTTAGTTTATTACCTACGCAGCAACTCTCTTACAACCAATCAACTTTCTTTCCCCATCAGCTCAACGATTATCGTAATTTTTCAATGCAACACTTTCTGAGTTTTCCCGACCCGTCACACGAGGACCCTCTCGGGCGATTTCAGGGCTTCGATATCGGCAGCTGGGCCCCACACCCCGTGAAATCCGAGGGCCCGTTTATTTGTGCAAGTGAAAGCAGCACCGCATTCTGAACCTATCTGGCGTTATGAAAATATAACTGTTTCTAGCAAGTTTACTTCATTCGTTTACCTGTTCATAGACTGACAGCTTTTTAACATCCGAATCATCAGCAACAATCCTCATTTTTTTTGTTCGGCTTTACAAAGCGCCATTATTAGGTTATCCTCGTGTAATATTTGTTGGTATCGTTGTTCTCTGTGTTGGGGAGCTGGTTTCTAATATTTTTTTTATTTTTATTTCTAATATTACGTTTGTGTTGTTGCCGGTTTAACCCGACTTTAGGATTTGCGTATTAAATTGACGTCGTCTGTGGGAACACCTAATTTTTTACCGGTTTATATGAGAGACTAAATTAATTTCTCACAAAAGTTTTTCAAAAGTTCAGAGATCATGGCCAGAGATAATTTTAAAAATAATTTGGCAGAAGATGTGAAAGAGACATGGATGTTTCGAAAACAATTTATGGAAATCTATTCACTAGTAGAAAAAATATTTTTCACACAGTGTGTACATCGATTTTGGCAAAACCGATATAAAAAAACACTACATTCAATATTCTCGTAACTTCCATATGATCACATTTCTAACATATACACACACGCATTTTCATCTTATCTTAATTTTCAAATACCCACCGGATCTTTATATATTTAAAATATTAAAAAATCTTTAAAAATCCTACATGTATATACCCGGAAGCTATTTTGTTTTTTTTTTTTT